TAGCATTTTGGGAGGCCAAGGCGGGTGGATCACTTGAGGTCAGTAGTTCAAGATTATCCTGGCCAACATGGCAAAACCCCATCTCTACTAAAAATACAAAAATTAGCCAGGCGTGGTGGCACACACTTGTAGTCCCAGCTACTCGGAAGGCTGAGGCAGGAGAATCGCTTGAACCCAGGAGGTGGAGGTTGTGGTGAGCTGAGATCAGGCCACTGCATTCCACCCTGGGTGACAGACTGAGACTCCATCACAAAACAACAACAACAACAACAAAAACAAGGAAGACTCATGCTTTCCATTTCAAAACTTACTTAAAAATTACAATTTACTTACTAAAAATTACAAGTGTGGCACTGGTGTAAGGATAGACATATACACCCATAGAACAGAACCAAGAGCCCAGAAATAGGCTGGGTACAGTGGTTTATGCCTATATTCCCAGTACTTTGGAAGGCTGAGGCAGGCAGAGCCCAGGAGTTCAAGACCAGCCTGGGCAACATGGCAAAATCTCGTCTCTACAAAAAATACAGAAAGTAGTCAGGTATGGTGGTATGTACCTGTGGTTCCAGCTACTCGGGAGGCTCAGGTAGGAAGATCACCTGAGCCCAGGGAGGTTGAGACTGCAGTGTACCAAGATCTTGCCACTGCACTCCAGCCTGGGTGAAAGAGTGAAATCCTGTCTCAAAAGAAAGTCCAAAAATAATCCCATATATTTGTGGTCAACTGAATGTTGACAAGAGTGCCAAGACCATTCAATGGAAGAAAGAGTAGTGTTATCAACAAATGATGCTAGGACAACTGGATAGCTACATGCAAAAGATTTAGTTTAAACCCTTATGCCATATATAAAAAAAAAAAAATTGACTCACAATAGATCAAAAACCTAAATGTTAGAGCTAAAAGTATAAAACTCCTAGAAGAAAAGAGATGTTTTCATTTCATGAGCTAGGATTAGGCAATAGTTTCCTGAATATGACAACAAAAACTCAAGCAACTAAAGAATAAGGAAATAAACTGGATTTCATTAAGATTTAATACTTGTGTGTATCAAATGACACAATCAAGAACGTGAAAAGATGATCCACAGAAAAGGAAAAAATATTTGCAAATCGGCTGGGCACGGTGGCTCACGCCTGTAATCCCAGCACTTTGGGAGGCAGAGGCAGGAGGATCACCTGAGGTCAGGAGTTCAAGACCAGCCTGGCCAAAATGATGAAACCCCCTCTACTAAAAATACAAAAAAAAAAAAAAAGCCGGGCATGGTGGTGCATGTAGTCCCAGCTACTGGGGAGGCTGAGGCAGAAGAATCGCTTGAACCTGGGAGGCAGAGGTTGCAGTGAGCTGAGATTACACCACTGCACTCCACCCTGGGTGACAGAGCGAGATTCCATCTGAAAAAAATTGCAAATCATATGTCTGAGAAGTGTCTAGTATCCAAATAAATAAAGAACTCTTACAATTCAACAATAAAAAGACAACCCAATTTAAAAATGGGCCAAGAGTTTGAATGGACATCTCTCCCAAGAGGATTTACAAGTGGCCGACAGACGCATGAAAAGATGCTCAACGTTATCAGTCATTAGAGAAGTGGAAATCAAAACCACAATATGACACCTCTTCACACCCACTAAACCAGACAACAATGACAAGCATCAGCAAGGATGTCGGGAAATTGGAACCTTCATACATTCCTGGTGTAAAATTTAATAAATGTAAAATTGTTCAATTATTTGGAAAACAGCTTGGCAATTCCTCAAAAAGTATAACATAAGAGTTACAACATGCCCAGCAAGTCCAGTCCTGGGTATATATTCAAGGAGAAAATGTATGTTCACACAAAAACTTGTATAGGAATGTTCATAGCAGTATTATTCACGGTAGCCAAAAAGTGGAAACAATTCAAATATCCACCACGGGTGAATGGGGAAACAAACTGTGGCACAATGGAATATTATTTACCCAGAAAAAGGAATGAAGTACTGATTCATGCTACAATATATGGATGAACTTTGGAAATATGTTCTTAATAAATGAAAGAAGGCAGGCACAAAAGGCCATATAATATATGGTTCCATTTATGTGAAATGTCCAGAACAGGCAAATCTGTAGAGACAGAAGGCAGGTTACTGGTGGCCAGGGCTGGGAGGAGGGGGAAATGGGGATTGTCTGCAAATCAGTACAAGGTTTCTTTTAGGGATGATTAAAATGTTCTGGAATTAACGGTGATGGTTGCACAACCTTGTGAATGTACTAAAAACCACTGAATTGTACAACTAAAATGGTGAATTTAATAATATGTGAACTATGTCTCAAATTTTAAAAAACACATGAGTAATGAAGAATGCAACTACATGGTTTCCTAGAGGCTGGAACTGAGGCCCCAAGCTGTGAGGCAGGGCTGCCTCCCCAAGGCCCTGGGGCACGTGCCCTCAGCCCAGTGGGCAGAGGCACCACAAACAGGCTGTCCTCCAGAGCCAGCTCCCCCACCAGACTCCTCACCAGGAGGCTGAAAACAACTCCACGAGTTTCCCGTGTATTCCTCCAAGGACATGGGTGAGGACACAGTAGGTTTTACATTCATATGTGTATTCAGTCACCTCATCTCAGCAAGACATACGCATTCACCCACGGAAGTATCTCATTAGGGTGGTTATCCTGCTAAGTCATCTAAGTAAATATTCACCTTCAGAAATGAACACGCTACACCTAAACAGAACAAGGACAGCGACAGTGCTTCCCTTCCCCACCTGGAAATGAAGACCTAAGGGATGGTTAAGCCTGCATGCAGGCTGGGCACAGTGGCTTACGCCTGTAATCACAGCACTTTGGGAGGCCGAAGCAGGTGGATCACAAGGTCAGAAGATCAAGACCACCCTGGCCAACACGGTAAAAACCTGTTTTTTTGGTAGAGACCACGGTAAAAACCCTGTCTCTACTAAAAATACAAAAAAAATTAGCCGGTCGTGGTGGTATGCACCTGTAGTCCCAGCTACTCGGGAGGCTGAGGCAGGAGAATTGCTTGAACCTGGGAGGTAGAGGTTGCAGTGAGCTGAGACTGCACTACTGCACTCCAGCCTGGGTGACAGAGCAAGACTCCATCTCCAAACAAGAGAAAGAAAGCCTGCACGTAGCACAGCACAGATAGGGACACAGAGGAGGAGGATGGCCCACTGTGGGTGGGAAACCCAGGCTCCTCTCCACAGTGGCTGCCTGTGCGGTCCCTTGCCAGCTCACAAGTGCTGACTGTTAACTATTCAGGAATTCTGTAAAGCGTTAATGCCAATTCAAGCGTTAGCGGTTTGACATGAACCCAGGTGGGGATATTCACACCACGGGACTGGACACCCTGCAGATCAGTCCTTCCATCCCTATTGTGCCAATGGCCAGCTAGAAGGGGCCAGTCAGCACCAGAAGTAGAAGAAAAGGGAAGGAGGTGAGGGGCCATGGCAGTGCCCCCCTGGCCCAGTCTGGGGCTCAGGGCTCAGTGGTGCCACATCACAAGCCACATCACTTGTTACCCACTTCACACTTTGCTTAAGCCCCTGATGCCACTGCAGCCTCCTGTGCTGTGCTGAGGGCTCTGGCTGCACTCAGCTGCCCCATGGCTGACTCCTTCTGCCTAGGGGACCACTGGGCATACTCCACCCGCAGGAGGGGCAAGATTGGTGGATATGAGGGCAGGGATCTAGCAGCCTGCTCTGCGCTGTACTAAGCATGGACTCAGCACACAATCAGGCATATGACAGCCTCATACATAACACACACGACGGTCACATGGTGGGTGGAATCCACTGTATGCAGCCAAGCCACTGAGCTCACATGGCCATGGGTGTCAACATCCCAGGCTCCCATTTCCAGGAATGCCAGGGACAGCTGAGTCCCTGGTAGGTGGCCTTCCCCATGTCCACCTCCCTGTAGAACAATGGTGATGCCAGAGGTCCCTTCAGCTGTGATAGTCAAAGATCTCGTGGTTGTAAGTTCCAAAGCCCCCGGGTTGCCGCTGAGGCCGAGCCCCCTCTCTTCCCACGGCATGCCACCCACGCTCCAGGCTGCCTTCACTCCCCGCCCAGCTTGGCTTGTTCCTGGGCTTCAGCCCCTCCATGCGCAGGTGCCTCCCACGGCTCCCCCTCAGACTTGCCACAGCTCTTCAAGCACTCCACAACCACACCAAGCATGCCAGCCTCCCCCACCTGCCATCACGGGGGGGCATGCTCCCAAGCCCCACCCTCTGTGGCCCACCTCACAGCCAGTCAGTTGGGTCCTGTCCACTCCACCTCCCAGAACCCTGAGTCAGCCTCCTCTCCTCCACCCCCCCTCAGCCACCCAGGAGAGGCCTCCCTAGTGTCTGCCTTCTGTCTCTTTCCCCATCTCCTTCCCAGCAGCCCTTTCTCCACACAGCACCCATGGGTTCATCTGCAGAGAGCATGGCCACGCAGGCCACTCCAGGTCCCTTTGGTGGCTCCCCACCGCCCTCCCTCTGCTCTTGCCTGGTGAGGTCCTGGGGAGAGCTGGCAGGGCGAACTGAAGGTATGCGAGCAGAGAAGGGTGTTTCCCAAAAACAGCCTGACTCTGGGCAGCCTGGGGGATCCTGAGAGAACCAGGATCCAGGCACGAGGAGCTGCCTGGGATCACATGGGGACAGTGGACATGGGGAAGGGCACCCAGCATGAAACGGTGGAAATGAAACTCCACTGCTCCTGAGACAGGAAAACTCTCGCCCACTCCGAAGGCCGGGTTGGATGTCCGTTCCTCACAGTCTGGCCCAGCCGAATCCCTGTGTATGGAGGGCAGGGAAGCCAGTGGGGCACCAGCACGGCGGGCAGCAGGGCCACCTTTGAAGGAGCAGGTGCATTACACTCAGATCGCCCACAGCTGTATCAAACACACACTCCGGGAGAAAGGAACTGCGGGGAGCCACCCAAACTGCATAAAGGGAGGCTCTCGGGAGTGGAACTGTTGCCGTTTCCCTCTCTTTATGTTTCTGTTATCTTTTATGTTTCTAGGTTTCTCCTTATTCTCTAAGACACTCAGTATTGCCTGGACGAGGAACGCCCTACACAGTGTCCGCCAAAGGCTGACTGTCATCCCACTGTCATTTGAGGATAAGAGTTTCTCGGGCCCTTGGAGCCCACCGCAGCAAGGGCAGGCTGCCCCTGCTCGCCACCACCTGCCTTCCCGGTGGTTCCGGCTGGGCTCACCTGACCACCTCCGTCTCCAGGGAAAGGCCCAAGGGACTCAGGGGCAAGAGGACCCTTGCCAGGGAGCAGTGGCACCTCGGGGCCTCCCATTCCAGCCCCACTCCCTTCATGGCTCTGTCCACCTCACCATCCCTCCTGTGCCTGAAGGAACCGCCTCTCACCCACCTCCACCTCAGCGCTGCTGCTGGGCTACTCCGGACCCTGTTCCTGTCTCTCCCCACTTTCTTTTCCTAGAAAATGGAGGGTGAGAACCCGGCAACTGGCAGGGACAGGCTGAGGAAAATGGGAGGCAGCCCCGCCGAACCCTGGGGGGTGACCACAGGCAGCCAGAGGGCCTGCAGATGCCACTCTCCTGGGGAAGGGTCCCTCCATCTCACTGCAGAGGGGCCTGGGCCAAGTCAGGGGTGACTCCAAGTCAGGGGAGCTGACTGGGAAGAGAGGCTTGGGGAGAAGACAGGGAAGTGTGTCTGGAGGGCAGGGCTTACAAAGTGACAAGTTACAGGCTATTTTTGGTTCCTGGGGCTGCCCTGAGACCCCAGGCCACAGCCTTAATGGCCATCACAGGCAGCTCCCCTGTGGGCCTGGGATTTGGGACCGCAACCCTGGACACTGCCCTGCACTCTCCAAGCCGGTTTTCCCAGCAAAGCCACAGGTCACTCTCAGGGCTGGAGCTCCCACAGAGCCCCAGGTCATGGGATTCTGAAGAAGAGAATCCCCCTGCCAGGACTTGGCTAGGGGGGTCCAGGGCCTCAGGGACAGCCCCTCCCACCCAGCCCTGAGTCATGCACTTGTACCCAGCTAGGTTCCAGAAAGGGCTGCAGGGACAAACACTGGCCGGACACTGGTGGACCTGTGGCCTCCTGAGTGGCCCAGCTTCTGTGGCCTCTGGTGACCTCATCTGTGAAATGGCAACCAGGGGCCTGAGAGCAGAGGGTGAGCCAGGCCCAGGGGAGTGCCCTGTCCCCTGCCAACCCCTGCACAGCTGGTGCTTGGGCGCAGCTCTGGCCAAGTCCCCACGTACCCTTCATCATTTTCAACATTTTGACCACCCCAGGTTTACAGAGGAGGAAACGGAAGGCTCAGTGATGTCACTCACCGGGGATCGGGGATCGCACAGCGGGGATCGGGGAAGTCGGGGGCGGCACACAGCCGTTGAACCCTTTGCCCGTGGTAGGTGTCTGACCTTGGACAAGACCCCTCCCGCAGCCCTGGGCGTCGGTGGTGAGCAGATGGCCGTCCCATCTTGCAGGGGTGCGGGCGGGTGGGCAGGAGCTCCACCTTCCGCGGCGGGCGCTCGCCCAGAGGAAGGGGCGCGGGGGCTGGGGGACCCCGGCCCCGACGGGCGCTGCCGCCCCGGGAGCTGCGAGAATCCGACGCTCCAGGGCGGAGCGGGGACCGTCTCGCCGCGGGGCTGTACGAGGGCGAGCCGGGCCTGGGCCAGGGGTCCCTCAGTCCCTCCTCCCCGGCCCGGGGGCGTGGGTGGGGGTCGTTACCTTCCCGTCATGGTGGCAGCGACGCCGAGCGCGGGGTAGCCGCGGGTCTCCCTCTGCCGCCAGCCGAGCACCCGCCCGCCAGCCCGGGCCGCAGAGCAGGGAGACGCCCAAAAAAGGCCAAGAGCCGCTCAGCCCGCGAGAGGGGTAGGCGGGGGTGGCAGGGTGGGGCCCGCGGGGCGGGGTGGGGAGGGGAGGTCAAGGCTGAGGGTGGGGGGGTGTTGGGGAGGTGAGGGTGGGAGGTTGCAGGCGTCTAGGTGGGGGTGGGGGTGGCAGGTGGGGGTGGCGGGGGGGTGGGGTTGGAGGGGCGGGGTGCGGTGGGTGGGGTTGGAGGGGTGGGGGTTAGAGGTGGGGTGCGGTGGGTGGGGTTGGAGGGGTGGGGTTAGAGGTGGGGGTGGCGGTGGGTGGGGTTGGAGGGGTGGGGGTTAGAGGTGGGGGTGACGGTGGGTGGGGTTGGAGGGGTGGGGGTTAGAGGTGGGGGTGGCGGTGGGTGGGGTTGGAGGGGTGGGGGTTAGAGGTGGGGGTGGCGGTGGGTGGGGGTGGAGGGGTGGGGTTAGAGGTGGGGGTGGCGGTGGGTGGGGTTGGAGGGGTGGGGGTGGCAGGTGGGGGTGGCGGTGGGTGGGGTTGGAGGGGTGGGGGTTAGAGGTGGGGGTGGCGGTGGGGTTGGAGGGGTGAGAGTGAGGGGGCTGAGAGTGGGAGTAAAACTTGGAGTAAAGGTTGGGGGTGGGTCCCGCCACCCGCACAGCCCCAGCTCTAGGAACACCGAGCGCGGCCAGCGGCGGGCGCGGGTTCCTTCCCACCCGGGCTCTGCTCACCACCTCCCGGATTCCGGGCATAGTTTTCCTTTTAAAGGGAGTGCAGTTATAATAAACGCGAACAAGCACCCCCACCCCCACAGCCCCGCCGGGACGCCCCGCTCGGCGCCCCCTCTGCCGTCCCTGGGCAGTCCAGACCGCAAACGCCTGCAGGAGATGGGAGGCATGGGGGCCATGCTGAGACCACCTCCCTCCCGGGCTTTCCAAGCCCCGAGTTCCCACCCGGATCTGGGCACTGACTCCCTCCCGAGGCACCCGGGACCCCCGAGTCCACGCAGTCCCGCCCCAAGGGAAGCGTCCCTTTTCAGTCGCAAGCTTGCTTTCCCGGGGAAATTCCCATTTCATCCCCCGAGGCGGGCCATCGCCCTAACTTGGCCAAAGGTACTTCTTCAACGACAAAACCAAATGCCCAGCTCCCATGTTTCCAGGGGAACCAGGCACCTCTGTATAATGAAGCGCTGTTGACAAGCTACCATTAGAGGCGTTAAGAGGAAGGGGTGATATAAACTATTTAGGGAATCTCTTCCGAGGAAATTTTGAAACAAAAAAAACAAAACAAAACAAAAAACCCTGGCCCCACCTAAAGGCAGATATTTCTGGCTGGACAGTGGCGTGCAGCTCATCTTTGGAAGCTGCCCAGATGTCACACTGAGAGTTGGGAGCTGGGCGGCCTGATGTGTAAATGTGGTCTACTCCAGTCCTGGCAGCAGAGAAAGGTGATCTAGAAATGACGGTGTGAGTTAGCAACCCACAAATAAACGGGTGCCGTTCAGAAAGATGAGTTGATGCATCCTGCAGTTCCAGCTGCAGAAATAAGCTGGGAAAAAACACCTGTTCCTAAGTGGCTGGTATTGTGGAGTGCGTTTGCAGCTGTTACTTTTTTTGTGGGGGGGGGGAGGGGGGACGGAGTTTCGCTCTTGTTGCCCAGGCTGGAGTGCAATGGTGCCATCTCAACTTAGGGCAACCTCCGCCTCCCATGTTCAAGCGATCCGCCTGCCTCAGCCTCCCAAGTAGCTGAGATTACAGGCGTACGCCACCATGCCCGGCTAATTTTGTATTTTTGATAGAGATGGGTTTCACCATGTTGGTCAGGCTGGTGGCAAACTCCTGGCCTCAGGTGATCCGACAGCCTCAAGTGATTACGTCTTGTTTCGAGTGTGTCTCAGCTGATTCTGCTTAACTGTAATTTGATGGTTGATTAAGCCTAAGTATGGATAATTTCTCGGCTCACCTGCCCATAAAGGGAGAAAGGCTTTCCACCATTACTGACACAGAGGTATAGGCATGCTGGGGCCGTGCACCAGAAAGCCACTGCTGGACAGTTCATTGAATATCGGGGTCCTGTGGAAACCAAAGAGGATGAACAGTTGAAAGCATTACAACAGAGGCCCATGCTCTCCACAGAGGAGACCTCATTCCTGCCTTTTAGCCCAAAAGCCTCCCTGCTTATGATAGCTGAGCACACATGGATCTGTATGTGGCCAAACCAGGACCCTGTGCAGCTCCCAGCGTGCCTCATCCCTGGGCCAGTGCAAGCTCAGTGACAGCTGGTCGGGGCTGTGGGCATGGCTTAGCCCTGCTGGAGATGCAGAGGCTCCAAAGAGCCAGGGCCAGCCTCCCACAGTTCAGCCAAGAGGGCAGAGTTGCAGGAAAGAGCTGGCACTCACACATTCACACATTTATCCACTTGTTCCTTCAAGAGTACTTATACTGCATGGGCACCGGAAGTACTGCGCGGAGCAAGAAGACATGGACCTGGCTCTCATGGAGTTTAGCGGGGGTGGAGGATGGGCAATAAACAAATAAATACGCAAACTAGATTTTAGACAAGGGTAAGTGCTTCAAAGAAAAGGACGATGGTGGTTGGTGGCTGATTTGAGTGAAGAGTGAGGGAAACTTTCTGAGCAGGTGATGTTCGAGCTAAACCGGAATGAGGGAAAAATCCAGCCCTCAACCATCTGCAGGAAAAGCATTCCGGCGGTAGAACAGCAAGTGCAACAACCCTGAGGTGGCATGAGCTTGGGGTATGCAAGGTCAGAAAGAAGACCAGCAGGTCTGGAAAACAGGGAGGTGGCGGGTGGAGGGGGACGGGGCAGAGCAGCAGGGCCACAGCAGAAGTAGGATTCCACCCTTCGATGGAGAGTTCTAAGCAAAGACAGACACAACACTCTAGCATCAGCAGAGGAGGATCTCAGCAATACTGACTGAATGATGAAAGAGCACTTTCTCCATCTATATCAAGTTCTAGAATAGGCAACATTTGTCTGTGGTAGAAGACTTCAGAACGGTGGCTGCCCCAGGCTGGTCTATTGCACCCCAGACTGCCCTGGGTGGGGAGGACAGGGGTTGACGAGGAAGGAATGTGAGGGAGCTTCTGGGGTAACGTGCAATGTTTTAGTAGGAGTTTGGGTCACACAAGTGTATACGCCTTTGTTAAAACTCATGGAATATATGGCCAGGATTTGCGCATTTCATTATATGTAAATTTTACCTCAAAACAAAAATACTGTAAACGATACTGAACTCTAGTTAATGATGTACAATGCTGAAGTGTTTAGGTAGAAAGGTACTGATGTCTGCAATTTACTTTGAAATACATTGTTTAAATCAAGATGAGCAGGTGTGGTGGATCCCTGTAGTCCCAGCTAGTCCCTAGCTACGGGGAGGCTGAGGAGGGAGGATCACTTGAGGCCAGGAATTCAAGACCAGCTTGGGCAACACAGCATGACTCTGCCTCTAAAAAATGAACTCAAGATGGGGAGATGGATAAAGGGATGGACAGAGAGGTGGCAGAGTGAGTCTACCACGATATTAATGGGAGAATCTAAGTGGTGGGTATCTGGGTTTTCAACTTTGATGAGTGCTTGAAGTTTTTCATAACAAAAGGGAGAAGTGTCCCCAGCTGCTGTGGCCACTGTGTGAGGGACAGAGTGGTCTCAGGGACAGTCTGATTAGAGGCTATGGTGAGCATCCAGGAGGGACTGGTGCCTTGGACCACGAGACCGTAGGGACGGTGAGAAGGCGTTAGATACAGGGTCTATTTTGCAGCCAACCGCATTTGCTGGGAATCTGGATGTGTGGGCGTGGCCGGCATGGGCGTGGCCAGCACAGGCATGGTGGTTGTGGGGCAGGTGTGTGTGTGGCAGGGGTGAGTGTACAGGCGTGGGAGTCAAGGACTTGCAGGTGGCCTTGCTTTCCTAGATGTTGGTGGCAGTGGGACAGTCTGGGCAGGTCAGCAAGGGCTGACGTTGCATTGGGCCCGCCCCAGGCATCCCAGGGGAGATGGTGGGCAGGGCACTGTGAACCTGGAGCAAGGAAGAGAGGTCCATTCTCTGGCGTAGATGCGGAAGGCTTGGTGCAAATGGAATTTCAGCTCTAGGGCTCCATGGAGACCTGGGGTGTCTGTGCCAGTCAGGAGCCCTCCAAGGGTAAGAGGTCGGACTGGCAGGAAGTGAGGGGGAGAGCAGGAAAGCGTGAGGTGCCGCAGAAGCCCGGAGCGCTGTGTGCACACCGCTGCGTGCGGAGGCCAGGGAGCCTCTGGGTTTGGGTCAAGAGCTGGTCCATGGGAGTAAGGGGCCTGAGTCCAACTGCAGAGGGGCAGGCAGGGCTCCTGCAGTGCCTCCCCTAGGAGCACCCCTCCTTGGGGTCTGTGCAGACGGTGCTCCCCGGAGTGCTGCACACAGCGTCTCTGAGGGAGAATGCTCTGAAAGGGGCAGGGAAGGGACAGCAGTTGGAAGTGGGTAGAGCAAGGGGAGGGAAGGTGAGAACGCAGTGTCCATGCCCAGGTTTTATAGGATGATGTCACTGAGGGACATTCAGGGAGTGGCTTGAATTACACACTTAGTCTTCGTTGGGGGACAGATGG